ACATTCAGAGCATCAACTAATCATCTTAAAATGAACTAATTTTATTAGAAAATACATATTTTCAGAAAAGGAACTTGAGCCATTTCTCCTGCAGCAATGACTTAGGTAATTCCCTTGCCCGAAGTCCGCATTGCTGCGGGCTTGGGTGAAGTGCAGATTAAGGGTGCGATGGGGCATGGTCAACTTCCGCACTTGAGAAATGGGACACCCTACGCACTCGCACCCACTCGCAAATGAAGGGCGCAAGGGTGCAAGTGCGAGAATTGGGATTGGGCCATATACTATTTTCACATTCAGCATACATGTAAACTTAGTGTCTGATCATATTTGAAATAAATAAATAAATAAAATAAATACATGCATAATAAAAAATTGTTGGTCAGTGAGCTCTTTCATTAATGTCTTGAACTGAGTCTGATGTGGTTCAGCCAAAAACAAGAATAAAATGATTGAGCATTTTGATAGAACGTTCAAGTACTGTTAAATTGTTAAAATGGCTTCTTTACAAACAGAATCATGAAACTAAAAAATATGATTTCCTAATAATACAGAAAATTAAAAATGAAGAAGAAAATATACAGAAATAAATTTGAGAACACATTATGCAAATGTAAGTGGTTTAGTGGAAGCAGCGTGATATTGCTTTTTGTCTGCTATTATGAGGCCTCAGCGGTATTTTAGGCTGTTCTCTTTAATAACAGGTTTCTGATGTGACTCACTCCCTCCTGTTAGAGTAACGCTCACACAACAGGAATCCTGAAATACGTCTGATGTCTGTGGGAACTTTTATATAACAGTTTGAATCACACATTAAATGATATCCGTCAAAAGGAAATGGCTTTCTATCACCACCCTATTTAAATGTAGCCATAGGTATGGCATATTTATGGTAATAGGGCAACACGAGTGATTCAGCAGCAGCTCTGTGGCTCTGAATACTAACGTGTTCTGGAGCTGTGACTAACACAGAGATGACCTTGATGACTGCAAGGTCGTCCTGTTTGCTCAAATAACAATACAAGTTCCAAATTATGACAATGAGATAGGTGCATAAATCACAGCCATGGCAAAGCCTTTGAACCTGTTTGAATTGTGCATGGTGCACGATGAATTCGACAGCAGCTAAGGCAATTAACAAGGAGAGACATTATGGTAATGAGAGCATGGAGCTTGTAAGGTCACTCTCGTTGTGCATGTTAAGCCATGACTCAGGGCAGGTTTCTCTGTCGCTGCATAAAGCAGCGATCTGCAGAATTAGTTGAATGGATTTGTCACAGAGACAGAGCTCAGCTGAAGGAAACATGACTTTATTTAATCAGTCTCATACTGAAACACAACACAACATGTGGAACGTTGGGAGTCAGTAGGAAACCTGTCTTCTTGGAGCTGGTGTGTTCTAAATGCATGAAAATGTTGATCATATTTTACATGATTTGTTTTGTTTTGAACGACCATGCGAGGTGTCTCATTCATACCGAGCACAGAACAGATGATCCAGTTTCTGTACGTTTTCTGGACAGATGTGGTTTACCCTGACTGGTTCGTGTGCAGAAGATCTCATCAAAAGATTAGAAATCTGACATAATACATTTAAACATATATTTGTAGGAATAACATGAACTATCTTATTCATTAATGAGGAATAAAGAAACACCAAAAGGAAAAATGCAACATGGGTTTTATTTTGAAATATGCCAAATGCACATTGCTGAACCACACTTCCCTTCCTAGAGCTCGTGTAATTTATTTAACTTTAACGCGTAAAGTTTCCAGAAAAATTAGACTCCGACTTTCCAGAGTTCCAGATCTGCACTACACTGCAGAATGCTCTAATGGGACTGACAGATTTTTGGCCTTTGCGGAAGTCGTACGAAAACCGAACCGTGTCCGTAATGAGCGTAGAAGAGAAGTAAGTCAGACTCACTGGTGACCCTTGAGAAATCGGTGAGTTAAATTTCATTTATTGTAAATGTTCCAAGAAAAGTTCCCATTAAAGACCCAGTTCACTTTTTTTCAACGCCGTTGAAGTGGTTTGTGATATAAATTAATGTTTGCCTCCGCAAAGACTGAAAAGCACTGAGCCGCTTTAGAGTGGTTCCGCTCCTATTTCAATGGCAGATGTTTTAATGTTGCCCTGGGGAATTGCGCCTCTAGAGTGGCACCTCTTTTTTGTGGGGTTCCCCATGGGTCTGTTTTAGGTCCGCTTCTTTTTGGCAGCCATTTTTAGAAGATTCCGGGTAAATTTTTATCTCAGCTTTATTGTCAGCTTTATGTGGCCCTAAAAGCTGCTTACATTGTGCAACCACTGACTGACTGCCTGAGTGAAGTCAGGTCCTGGCTCTCAGCAAATTTTCTCCATCTTAACAGCTCCAAACTGGAGGCTATTTTCTTTGCCCCCTGCTCTCCCTCTGCTGTGGAGCCATCTCTGCCCCCTTCATTGTCAGTTTTGGTGAAGCCGACAATTACAAATTTGGGGGTCACTCTGGACGCTGTTTTTTAAAATGGATGCACAGACAAATCAGGTAGTCTGGTCGTGTTTGTTTCATCTTCGCCGGCTGGCCAAACCAAAATCTGTCCTGAACAAAAAAGATCTTCAGTCAGTTGTTCATGCTTTTGCAACGTCACGTCTGGACTATGCCAACTCTCTTTTATATGGTATTCCCTCCTCTTCAGTGGTACGCCTCCAATTGGTACAGAATGCTGCCGCAAGGTTTCTTACGGGCATAGACCAACGGCAGCATATCACCCCTGTTTTGGCAAATTTACACTGGCTTCCAGTTCGGTTTCGTATTAAGTTCAAAATTCTCCTGTTGGTTTACAAATCTATTCATGAAATGGCCCCCTCTTATTTGGCACATCTTTTGAGCCCCTATGTTCCGGCGCGAACCCTGAGGTCCTCTGACCAGCACCTTCTGCTCGTCCCTCCTGCCCGCTATATGGCCCATGGCGAACGGGCTTTTTCAGTTTGTGCGCCTAAACTTTGGAACCAACTCTATAAAGGTTGTTGTTGATGATGATGATGATGATGATGATGATGATGATGATGATGATGTTCTACACACTATTCACAGCTGCTGGAAATGGCAGTTTGTCCTGACGAGATCAGAGCTGAGCGTCAGACGGCAGGATTCTGAGTCTCATTTCCTGATATTGGGACATCTGGCCTCTGATTGGCTAACAGCAACACAACTATCACAACTCAATTTTCTTTGCAACATTGATGTTTTATCTATACAAATATAAAGCTTGAAGGAGTTCTGCTATGTGGTGGTGTTGCTAATGGTAATGGTTAGCTTCTACCAATTGGGACGTTCTCTGCTGTTTCTTGGACACTAAACCAACAACAGCCTTCCCCGTCACGAGTCAAGTTGGGTGAGTCCATGAATGCTAGGTGACATTGTGACGTAGATCTGTCAGACTTTTCTAACTTGTGCGTTTTCCCGCCTATTTTCTATTGGTGGCTAAAGCAGAGGGTAGGGGTTGAACATATCTTTTCACAAGTAAAAAACAGTTTCTCTGTGAACTTGATCATTAAAAGTTGCCTCTGAGTAATTTAAATTAATTCTTTAAATTTTGGGTTAGGAATTATGCACGTGTGCATGTTTACATTTTTTAGGAATAAAAAAAGATCTGGCAGGCTGCCCCTTCCATCTGTTGGCCTCTATTGGCGTGCCAGTCTATAAGCTGGAACACATCAGCATTTCACTGCCTAAACACTAAACCGTAAGCACAATGCTCAAATGGAGCCGTTAGTCAAATGCTCACGGAACCTTTCACCATGTCAATTAGCATTAGCTCCTGACTGGTAGCCACTTGTCAAATTAATCAATGCTCACCTTCACGCCATTAATTCAGAAATGAGCAGGGTCACAGCACACACACACACACACACACACACACACACACACACACACACACACACACACACACACACACACACACACACACACACACACACACACACACGTAAATCTTTGTTTGTCACTGATCCAAAGATAACCACCCAGCTTGGCCCAACGTTTGCCTCTCTGACTGGCTGCAGGGCAACAGACACACATAAAAATAATATTCATAAATTCTGTCTGTCTGACCTCCAAAATCAAACAGCTTCTAAACACTCATGTAGCCGCTCCCTCTGATAGCTAGTCGTGATGGAGGCACCTTCAGCTTTCTGCTCAGTTCTTACACACACAGTCCATTTCAGCTCTCAAGTGGGAATCTATTGATTGAACCACAAATCTAACAAAAGGAGCTTGAACCGAATAGCGCCCACTCTCCAAGATCAATCTGGAAACATGACTCAGCAAGATATTGCTCTTTTGGAATAAAAAAGGGATCCGCTACTCCCCAGAGGCAATCCAGTGTTTGTAATCAGGCTCCAACATGCTGCTGCTGCTGCCAGTACTCCGACTGGAATCAGACCAAGCAGTCTAACATTTAACATCTCTACATTCCTCGTGGGAATAAAACACCAGAACTCTGCCATCTCACATTCTCAATCCTTCTTCTGCTCGTCTTTTTTGTTCCATCCTCCTTTTCTCGTTTCACATCCCTCTTTTATCACACAGCTCTCCTCTGATTCCTCATCTCTGGTGGGCTGACATTTCTGGCCGAGCTCCTAGATAAGAGAGTGGTGTAAAAGCTATGATGGAACAGTTATTACATGTGAGGAACAATTATCACCAAGGGTTCAGATCACAGGGTCTCTTATTGGCACATCCAGAGCTCATTTGAGAGCCAATGTAGGTCTGTTATTTGATGGTCCCTGAATGGCTGCTGTCTAATCTGATGAGTTCAAAACTATATTTTCAGTCATTTCAGGTTTCTAAACCCCGTCTGTCAGGAGGATAATGCTGAAGATTCTCTGAGTAAAAACACCTACTCTGTTTCAGCAGACGCTCTTTAACATGTAAGAAAATTCCCCACTGGAGCATTTCCAGTGTGCAGACTGGCAGTAACACAGCAGACGCAGTCGGTCTCAAACACACACAGACACTCACAGTCATGAAGCCATCCAGTAGACCAGAGTCAGGCTTTGGTGGGGCCTGCAGCCTCTCCATGGACCATTTCTCAATGATAGATGCAACCTGGCTGTTCTCGGTGTTGAGAATCCTGAAGCCTGTCATGTTCACACCACTGTATCGGTAAGGCTCCACATCCAGCGCAAACAGATCCTAGAAAAAAACAGGCAACAGAAGTTCAAACCACCAGTCTTCAAAGTTAAGGAACTCTTTTCAGGCTGATAGCAGTCCCCCCACGTTTCACTCAAGAATAATAATTTATCATTTTTTATTTTCTCGTAAATGAGCAAAACTTAAATCCACTAATCTGTCCATATTGTTGTTCTAAATGGAATAAAAAGGAAAATCTGACTTTTCTGCAGATCTCTGGTGTCCAAATGCTGAATGAAGTGGTTTAAACAGACCTATCGATCACTGAAAGCGCTTTCCTCTGATCGACTAAATCTCACACTGACGCTGTGCAAGGCAGCAGATCTCCTTATCTGGCCTTTCCAACTGTGGGAACTTTCATTTGTTTCCAGTCGATGGATGGTTGATGGCACAGAGGGTGATGGACTAACCAAGTTAAGCTACAATGGCAAATCTGCAAAACAAGCTAGCTTAAAACATATTTTTGTTAATAACAATCTAACATAGTACAGCTATGAAAATATTGTGAAGATTAAAAAGAAAAATCAATGAAGTGGTTCTCTCACATTTGTTTAACCCTTTGATGCATGAATTATGAAATCTTCAACCATGATTTTTTTAACAATTTTTTTCATTCGTCTTTAGGTGTGAATGAAACAAATTTCAACAAATATTTTTTGTAAAATTTTATAATTTACAAATATTTTATTACATGTCCATCTCAGTGGACAACGTGCATTCTGAGCATGAAATATGTTGCCTTGGCTTACTGAAGTGCAAATGGAGGAGATTAAATGCAATAAAGTCTTCAACAGCTGTGCTTAATAGCAAAAACAAATAAATAATTTTGAGTACCTGTCCACTGTAGTGACCATTATGCATCAAAGGGTTAAAAACCTCCACCAATAACACAAAAGAAACGATTAGACCATCCAGTTGTCGGCCTCGCCGAACCTCCACACTTCTGCACTTCCCTGGGTTCTCCAGTCATTACACATTTACATATTTTGAAACAAAACACCACTGGTGTGAGAGGTTCCCAAAAAGAAAAAAACACCATTTGAAATCGCGGACAACAAAAGGTGTTTGGACCTAGAAAACTGTGACTGGTGTTTAGCGCTATCTCGTTTACTTTGAAATGAGGGTGTCACGATCTGGGTTGTTTCTGCCATTACTTTTTGGTTTTGAGATTCTCTCTGCAGGTGGGCATGTCCGGAGGTGGCCAAGCTGCAGACTGTCTGCTCATCAGCCGGCCAGGGAGTATTCAAGCAGCTGAGAGACACCTTCACTTCGCTGGATGATTGCTCTACCTGGGTACCTTCTAAGCCACCTCTTCGTATTATATTCAAGCTCTTTGAGCCTTTTGAGATTTTAGATGTGTTTTGGATTTTGAATGTGTCTTTGAACGTTTTGAATTTTGCATGTACCCTTCCTGCTCTCGTTCACCTGATGAACCTCCACCTTCATCTCCGACTGGCTGTACTCTGGAACTCCTACTTGCTTGTCTCTCAGCCCCTCCCTGGCCAGAACCACCTCCAGCTGCCCACCTAAGCTCCTTGGATCTCCACAAACTCAGCTCCCTCCACGTCTCACCTTCTGGATCTCAGTCCCAGGAAAATCCTCTCAGCCCAGACCGGACCACTCCTCCCTCAAGCTATTTCCCCCCTCTCCAGACTGTAAGTTCTCCGCACAATTCAGATTCCCTGTTCCCTCCTCCAGTTGGATCTAACTCCCATCGGTCCACAGATTTCCCGCACCGGCCTCCTTTGTGAAGAACTCGGCTACGTTTATGCTGCTCCCTTGGTTTCCCTTTTAATAGATTCTTATTTAAACACTTTACCCCCTTCTCTAAGCTGATTCTGTATGTCCTGGGTTAGATATCGACACCACCACATGACAGAGGGTTCCAGTGTCCGGCTGACATAGCCTAGGAATGATAGCTGACAGGAGGGGTGAGAGTTCTGTGATGGTGTTTGTGTTTAAAAGCTAGCTTGTTTTGCTGCTTTAACTCTTTAAAGTATTTTTTAACTATAATCTAAAATATCAACAGCAGTTCAGCTGTGTCTCCACAATCATCCCTACTTCACACTGGAAGCATCAGCGTAGCAGATCAGTTTACTCGTGGCTTTCGATGCATGCCAGTGCACACCGGGAGAATCTCAGCCATGAGCGACTTCTCTGCCATCCTCCTCGCTCAACTCGCAAGATCACAACATCCCTCGAGTTCATGCCATCTGCCATTAAACCAAAAAGAAGGAAATCACAATTGCTATTGCCGTTCCTCTCCACTGCCAGGATTAAAGCCATGAAAGCCACATAGATGCGCTTCTGGAACGATGCTGGGAGTAAACAAGCCATACGTACTGATGTGATCTACATAGATATATAAAATTGCATCGCTACAACAGACTTTTATTTAGAAAATTACCAGGGGTTTTACACTGAAACTGTACGTGATTTCCTGTCTAGGCCTATGTTAACTGTGGAAACTGTCGTGTCCTAGAAGCGACTCGTGGCAAAAATAGAACCCAATCTTATCTTTAGTGGCGCTGCGTTTCTGGGACTATAATGGATTGTGATTTGAAGCAGTGGCATTCTGCACCGCTGATGTTTCCAGTATGAAGTCGGGGTCAGTTTTACACACACATTCAAATTCAGTCACAAAGACAGATTGCATTAATGGTTGTGCATATACTAATTTGAACACCCCCTGTAAGACACCATGTACTATAAGAAATTATCAATAATTCATTACTGAAGAATTCCTGTCTCTGAAAAACCGATCAGACCTTCATTAGGTTGTAGACGCTCTGTTAACATCAACTAAGTGATGTAGAATCAGAAACCTGGCAAAAGAGAGGCTGCCATATGTCGCCTCAGCATGGTTAGCTTGTTCCCTCTGCCTGGAGAATGGAGCTTTCAGAAACAGGGCTGTGCCGAACACAATGGTGCAAAAGCATGGCACACACTGCTGTTAACGTTTTCATGGAAATTCCATTTAATTATCCTGCAGAAATAGTGTCATGTGCAGCTGATGCATTAAATAAGCACCGTTTAAAGCTTTATGTGAAAATGAGAGTGATCCGTTAAATAAGAAAATCTTTAGATGTTTGTGTTCGATTCTGGTCTTCAATTTGGAGGATCAAATAAAAACTGCCACTAAATTGAAACAGAGGACAGAAAGACAAATACATTCAATCTACTTCGGCCAATTCCAGTCAGAAAAAGGCTGTTGGAACAACATAGTGTATGAAACGGATGAGGTCCGGTTTCCCTTTGACCAAAAATCACAGAGTCCAGTCAGAGCATCCACACAGGCTGTGGCGCCGATCCAAATCCGGAGCTTCGGAGTGTTTCCACATGGGGTCTTATTTCCCAAATGCTGCATGCGGATTGTCATGAAGGTAAAGAATGAGCCAGACAGGATGTGAGATGCGTCGCAGAGAGTGTTCCATTCTGTGTTGCATTTAGTTTTCTGACTTTTTTAATGACACAGATATCAGTTTGGTGTGTGTGTGTGTGTGTGTGTGTGTGTGTGTGTGTGTGTGTGTGTGTGTGTGTGTGTGTGTGTGTGTGTGTTTCACTTCAGGTGTATCTTTAAACATATTACAGGTATGTCAGATTTCTAATCATCTGGTGCTCTTGCGGGAGCAGATTTCCAGGGAAATTCAGCAATCGTTCATGGCGCTCCGTCCGGAAGCCGTATGGAAACCGGACCACATCCATTCTATACTCTGTGTAAATGAGGCGTTAGTGTTCCTGCTTGGAAACGGAGACTTGTCCAGAATATCCTCTGCCACTATCCGAGTGACTGCTGGAGATGCCAGCTCAACATGAATTTACTGGATGAAGTAAATGAATGAATGAATGAATGAATGCATTTATCTACATTAAAACAGCTTTGAAACACCTGAATGTTACTAACTCAGTCCAGAAAAGTGGGAAACACGATCATGATATAAACAACAAAGTGCTGCTGGCTGACACTGAAAGACCAACTTTGTTTATAAAATGACTTTTTTCTGTTCTCTACAACTCTCTGTCTCTTTGATGTGCTGATGAACAATACCAAACATAGAAGAACATCAAATTTAGTTCATCCTTTGAAGACCACTCACTGAAATACTTAAAAATACAGTTTCAACCCATCAGTGTGACTGGGGGTCTATGAAGGACTTTCTTTCCTTTTAAGCCTCTCAGGCTCAAAATAAGTTTTGATAAAAGGACGAACGACTAAGTCCTTCAGGGGTACTTCTGAGTTAAAAAATGCTCATGAAATACGTACCGTAAATCCTCTAATACAGGCCGGTATTCAATTAAAGGCCGGGTCTCCAATTTTGGCCGGTGTCGGAATGGCCGGTCTCTTATTGTGGCCGGGTGGAATGTGGTACCAAGCAAGTATGAGCGTCCCAGCGGCAGTGTTACAGTCCCCAAATCTACCAGCAGGGGGCAGTAGGGGTTCACACAGACCTTTTTTAGGCTTTTTCTTCAACGCTTTGTAACGCTACAGACACGATCCTCTATCACGCTCCTACCACACAGAGTCACGGTGTCAGTTAACCATGCTAATTCATCCCGCTCCACAGAACACACATCACCTTCCCTGTGGCTTACATAACACTCATACAACACGCAAATCAGCACATAGGAACTAACAGAACGATAGGAAACACATATAACACAATACCCAGAATGCACCTGGCTTACAACCGTGCTTACAACCCCAGCCAGGTCATTACACTATCAAGTTCAAAGAGAACGTGCTGATTATGCTGCAGAACACTCTGGAGAGCAGCAGTAGGGGGTGTATGAACTAGTCAACTTCACTATGGTGACTTTTTATGCCTGTCGTCGACTAGTCGCTGTCACGTGATACTGACCGGCAAGATGCAGCCCTCGGAAAAGACAGCAGCCTGCTGTCAGCAGGTGACAAGCTCCGGCGCTCGGGGGGGGGGGGGGGGCAACGCGCTGTGCCAGACCGTAGGTACTGACACGCGATCGTTCATGTCGGTTCATTTCCTTTAATGTTTTCTGTCTTTTCTTTGCGCCTGATGTGTATCGCTGCTGTGGAGCGGGGCGCTTCACCTTGTCCTCCGACGCACAGATCACTGATGCGGCCTCCAAGCAGGGAGCGCTCTGCTGTTTTCGCGGTCGGTAGATCTGCCTCCTGAGCACGGCCACAGTAACAATCAGGTGTCGCCACCTCAAAAACTAATTTAACACGCGATTGTTCATGTCAGTTCATTTCCTTTAATGTTTTCTGTCTTTTATTTGCGCCTGATGTGTTTCGCTGCATGCTGTGGAGCGGGGCGCTGCGCGCATCACCTTGTCCTCCGACGCACTGATCACTGATACGGTCGCCAAGCAGCGAGCGCTCCGCTGTTTTAGCGGTCGGTAGATCTTTTAGAACTGCAGTTCAAAGGTAACTCATAAGGTGAATAGATATGAACCCAGGTAGCAGTTTTTCTTTAGGATTGAGAGGAGATGCAGGAAGATAATAAGCAGGCAGGACAGAAAAATAGTCAAATAAAAACAAGTTAGTTTTGTACCTGCTGTTGCAACAAACAGACACCATTGAAGGTCATCAGAAGTGTGGAACAGAAAATGAAATAATTATTTTAATGTTTAGAGCAGCAGGAACTCCGAGAGGCTGCAGGCGCATCAGTGAGTTTGCGGCCGCTGCGCAGGGGGAGGGGGGAGAGGGCTGAAGCAGAAACTACCGTTGTTAAAAGAAATGTGTTTAACTTTGAAAATGTGGGCGCAATTTTAATTGTCAAAAACTCCAGCGAACCATTAGTTCATTTTGCTCAAATAGAAATAGAGGCCTGCCTCTAATACTGGCCCTCCTTCCAATAAAGGCCTGGAGCTTGATGAGCTTGAGTCAAATACAGGCCCGGGTCTGTATTAGAGGATTTACGGTATGTGGAGTAACCAGGTGGGTAGGTTTTAACTGCTGCAAATCGGCAACGCCTGCCTCCAGAGGGCTAATACTTTTACTATTGTTTTGGGGGTGTGTGTGTGTGTGGGGGGGGGGGGGGGTTGTTACCTTAAGCTAGGTTATTAGCTGTAATTTCCAGTGCTTTAACAAATAATCACAAAGTCACATGTGGCTTTTTTATGGCAGAAATACATGAACACCTGCTAATAGAAATAAAATGTAAAAAGATAATACATAAATAAATGTGGCTTTAGTTTTTTACAGTTGTGTGTTCTTTTAGTTTTGTATAAAAACTGTTGGGAGGACAGGCATGTCTGAGAAAGGCACTGGTGAGGAAATACTACAAGCAAGGCGATAAAAAGCAACATCCAACCAGAGAGAAATGGAGGCTGAACAAGCAGGAATAAAGTGAAAGAAAACAAAGCAGTTTTATTGATGTCACAGAGCCGGAGTATAAATCCTGGCCTATTGTTTCCTGTCTCTGGATAACCCACACAAAGAGGGGGGAAAAATGATGAAAGCACATAAATCTACAGGGAATCCTTTGAAAATGAAGATTGAGGAATAGCATCATTTTATAATTTATAGATAACAGGGTACCTGAGGCTCTTCTTTACTTACCAGTGTGGTGAAAATGTAGTGATAGTACTCCGTCATCATCCCCATGGCCAGAGCCTGGGAACCACAAAGAAAGGAGGGTGAGAAGCTGGCTTATTAACAGGTGCGCGCACACACACACACACACACACACACACACACACACACACACACACACACACACACACACACACAAGGTGGTAGTGTGTCTGACTTGGTGGCTTCACTACCCTGTGATGTGAGAAGGTGTGCGCTCCGTAGCCACGGGCGTGAAGATAAAACACAAACACCCGCCAAATAAAGCTAATCACCGAGCAGACTCGAGGAACATTCACACATCATGAAGGATTATTCAGGAGCTGGTGATGAGCATCAGCATCCAACACACACCCCTCCCCCACATGGTGGCTCTAGCGTGTTTCTGCTTGTTGAAGATGAAAATTTGTTTTATTTTCTTTAATGGATCAGTGTTGTTGAATCTTATCCATGTGGAGATAGTTGACAATACTTCAACATTTCATCTTCCATATGGAGACACGTTGGGACTTTTTGTAAAGCTGTAATAGTTCTATGGTCGATACAAAACATGTAAGGATGTCCCTCTCACATAGAGCAAGTAGCTCAGGAGGTGGAGCGGGTTATCCAGTAATCAGAGGGTTGTAGGATTGCCTGTGCTGCTGTTGTCCTTGGGCAAGACATCTAGCCTGCTGGGGGTCATCGGGGGGACCGGTGGCCCCAGTGCTCAGCAGCTTTGCCTGTGTCAGTGTGCTCCAGGGCAGCTGTGGCTACTTTGTATCTCATCGCCATCTGCGTGTGAATGTGTGGGTGAATAACAATTTGCCTTGTAAAGTGCCTTAGGGGGTTCTTGGGCTCCAGAAGGTGCTTTATCAGAAACAGGCCATTTAACATTTAAAGTGATCTCAGCAGTTTTTTTCTTGACATTTTCAGTACCTTCCAGAATGAGCCCTTTCAGGGCTCTGTCACTTTAAGGAAACAAGCTGGAGCTGGCCACGCCCACTCTTCCCCACTCAGGCTGCTATAAGCTGAGAAGCTCAGAAATCCAGGAGGGGCTGGAAGTAGAGCTGGCAGGCTGACAGGCGAGAGGCGTTCTATGATAAATTTCAGCCTGTGACATCACAGTTCTCTAACTGAGAACCACTCAAAGGTCATGCAGGGTAAAACAAAATGTGATGTCAGAGCAGAACTGCTGCTTCATCATATTTTCTGGTGACAGATGAAGAGGATCTCTTTAAGTTTTACCACTAACTCATTATAATAATCATCTCCAACTCTATGGAGACCCTTAAAGTTTTAGTCAGGATGAGCTACAGGACTGCTTGGACACATAATCCACACTTACAATCAGATAAAGTGCCTTGAACCCCTTGAACAGAGGCTCAGGGGGATGGAGGTCTGGACTGTTCATAGTTTTGTTGCAAAGTTCATCTCCTTCCCAGTCTCAAAGTCCTTTGGAGCCTCCAACAGGTTTTCTTCCATTATTCCATGGTATTTAGCTCCATCTATCTCTCGTGAACACCAACTTCCCTGCCCCTGCTGAAGAAAAGCTTCCTCACAGCATGATGCTGCCACCACCATGTTTCGCAGTAGGGATTATGTGTTCCATGTGATGAGCAGTCTCAGCTGACCAGAACACTTTGTTCCACACATTTGCTGGCTCTCCTACATGGCTCCATGGCAGACTGCAAATGAAACTTTTTATGTTTTTCTGTCAACAATGGCTTCCTTTATTCACTCTCAACAGCTGCCAGTACACGACATATCTGGGCTCTGGACTCCTCCAGAGCGACAATGGGCTGAAGCTTCTCTAACCAGTGCTCTCCTTGCCCGGTCATTTAATTCAGTGGTTGGTAAAGTGTGAAAAGGTTCAAGGAGTATGAATACTTTTGCAAGGTTCTGGGAATAGGAAGGTTGATGTTTCCCGTTATTAAAGATGTAGGGTTAGAAATAAATCTTAACAGGGTTTAAAATGAGAGAAGACAGCTGGTTGTTGGAGCAACTGGATCCTTGTTTTTAACTCATTCACTTAAATCCAACAGTTCGCTGCCAATGACGACTAAAATCGTCATTTGCATTTTTTTTACTGTGTGGGCGTCGGAACGAGCCGCCGCATCGTGAGAACAAACATCCCAGCTCTAAAGCCGATCTTCATCCATGTCTGTCACATGTCACATGATCAGGAAGCAGAAGATCCATGTGTTAGATCGTTTTGGGCCGCTGCTGTAACTAAAGTTCGGCACGAACCGGAAAAGCTTCTGCCGATCACAATTCGACAACGGATTTTGAAAGAACGGATAACGCTCGAAACGCTCTGATTCTTCCTGATGTAAGAGGTGAGTCTGCTCTTTGTTTGGGTAGTTTTGGCGTTGACATCATCCTCACGCACAACGTTCTGTGACTCTGACAGCTGGCAGCGAAGGGCTTTTCTGATCAGGAAACGGCTAGCAGTGAATGAGTTCAAGTTCATTTAAGAATCCTCACATCACCAACAATCAGACAAACCTTATTAATTTGTAGTTTGATTTTGTGTTTGTTTATTTATTTTTATTTTTCTTTGTACTAAGACACTGTTTATATTGCTTTCTCAAAAACAGACATTCAGCCTCTTGGCCATAATCTCTGGATTAAAAGAAAAAAAGGATCTTGACCACATATGTTACAGCTCTAACGTTACGGCTGTCATTGATACGCTATTTGTTTTAGAAGACAGACCATGGTCTTGATCTGGAAAAGGGTAGAATCCCTTCTCCAGGTCAGAAATGAGGTCCTGCCCCAAAGTGTAGGAGTTTAAGTATCTCGGGGTCTTGTTCACAAGTGAGGGAATATTGGAGAGCGAGATCGATAAGCGGATTGGTGCTGCATCTGCAGTGATGTGGGCGTTGTACCGGTCTGTCGTGATGAAGAGAGAGCTGAGTCAGAAGGCGAAGCTCTCAATTTACCGGTCAATCTACTTTCCTACCCTCACCTATGGTCACGAGCTTTGGGTAGTGACCGAAAGAACGAGATTGCTGATACAAGCGGCTGAAATTAGTTTTCTCCGCAGAGAGGCTGGGCTCTCCCTTAGAGATAGGGTGAGAAGCTCGGTCATCCGGGAGGGGCTTGGAGTAGACCCGCTGCTCCTCCACACCGAGAGGAGCGAGTTGAGGTGGCTCGGGCATCTGGTCAGGGCGCCTCCCTGATGAGGTTTTCTGGGCATGTGCAGCTGGGAAGAGACCTAAAGGTAGACCAAGGACACGGTGGAGGGACTATGTCTCTCACCTGGCCAGGGAACGCCTTGGGATCCCCCCAGAGGAGCTGGCCCAAGTGGCTGGGCGGAGGGAAGTCTGGGCCTCTCGATTTAGGCTACTGCCCCCACGACTTGACTTCAGATAAGCGGATGAAAATGGATGGATGGATGACAGACACTATTTCAAACACCCAACCACCATTACTTCAATCTAAGTTGCGTTCTTTTTCCCCTTTTGCCTCCTTTGGACCTCCTGACACCTCATGGTAGCTGGTATGTACATACCTGTTTGAGAATCCCAGCAGCCATCTCATGTCCACAGTCGAAGATGATATGAAACTCTTTCCCCCTCTTCATCTCCTTTAAAAGGGGCTTGGAATCCTTGGTCTCTGCAGGCAGCTGCCGGATTTTTAAGCGAATATTGTATCGAGATGGTGCTTTTATGAGCTCCTGCAACCGAATCAGGCCTGTAAAAGGAAAAACAACAATAATAAATAAAGGTTTGTGCTATAAAGGGTTTTTAAAAGACTTTGTTAAAAACGAAAAATTTTCTCTGTTTTTGACGAAGAAAAATGAACCAAATTACAAGCAATTAGCTCTTTCTTACAGAGCAGTTCGGTTCCCAAAAGTAACTAATCTGTTTATTTCTGACATTCATTTCTCTTCAACCACCTTCAGCTGATTTTCATTGTATTTTTAAAGCAAAACTCATTTTGGCATTTACTTTCTCAGACCTGGATACAGATTCTGACTTCAACCACTAATCACTCATTTATTCAGACTGATACAACACGTGTAAAAAGGATGTTGAATATGAAACAGTTTAAATAAAGCATAAACATCGCTACTCTTTCCCTTTTTTAGTGTGATTTCCAAAACATCTTTCAGTCATGGACAGATTGCTGTGTTTTAGGTAAAAGTGGAAACAGATCCTTTTGATTCGCTGAATAATTTAGTGAAGCGTCCTTCATTTAGGATTCAAAACACAGACCACGTTTAATGAAGGTGTCACAACATTTTCTGCTGTCTTCAACATAACTGTCTGTTATTTTCCCCGGCATAATTAGTCCCATGAATGTCTCCTCGTGTAGATCTGAACGTGAATAATTAAAAGGACATACTTGGATGAGTCGAACAAGATCTACAGAAACATCAAATAAGCAAATCTCCTCAACATCTAAAACAACCGAGACGAAGTCCAGCACACAAAAAACCACATTAACAATAAAAACAACAGATAAATACATGAGTGTGAATACTGTTAGAGGTACGGCATTTCTCTGTGTCGTCTGGCTTTAATTAATCTAAAAATCGCCTCAGAGGCCACAGGTACCAGGAAGGTAGCTCCATGTTTGTTTCACGATAGAATCATTTAGTTTTGATGTTATGTTGCTTTGACTCTCAAAAGAGTTGAATCCAATTTCATAACAAATGTGTATAATTATGTCTGAGTAATGGGCTGAGTAATGCTGCACAAATCTATGCTGTGAATTGTTTTTTACTGTGAGAGTTGACTCAATATTACAGTGATTCAGGGCTGAATTATCTCATATCAAACAGTTTTAGGTTCTGAAGTTGATTGTTGGCAGCAGATCAAACGTGCAGGCCAGATACACACTAGTAGTTCTGCTGCTTGTCTCCATGTAATGGACCAGTGATCTGTCCGGGTGGGGTTCTGATAGGCGGCTGTTACACAGCTCTGAACGGGAACAAGAAGGTGTAGAAAACAGATTGATGTTTGATACCATTGTAATGACAATGCAATCAGTATTTTGGTATAAAACAGTTATCTGTTGGTTTTTATGGTTGTTTCACAGCTGGTGTTGTGTTGACCTCTCCAGCTCAGCACAAAAACCAAAGCCTGACATCAGAGAGCTAGAGGAACCATTCCACGCAAGCACTAAATATACAAAAACCTGCATATTCAAATATTCAGAGCTGGATTTGGATTAGGAGGTGAAATCGGTCGTCTTTAGATGGAACAATGGCTCTATTTGGTGAAGTCCTGGAAAATAACAAAACTAAAAGTACGAGAGACACATCAGTGTGCTGCATCTAAATAATCCCGTGGATGTTGAAGATGTTTAAAGAACTATGGAACAAGTTCAAATAGATTGGGTGATGACCAATAAAGGGTTAATGCATTAGTTTTAACGTGACTCTGTGGTAAAAACAGGAACAAGTGAGTTCAGGCCTGTCAAGAAGGAGGGGGACAAATGGGTTTGTTGTTCTGGGCACAGTCAAAATAGATTTGAAATTCATATTTATTTGTTTTCTTCTTAAATGTCATCAAGATAGTGGCCAAAATCAGACAAACATACAAGGCTCATCTGTGTCCCCATCCAAATGCTCCGTGGCTTCGGCTGACACCAGCAGCAGGTGGGCTGAGAAGAGATCCCACACTCAGGGCTGCAGCCGTCCGTCCCCACTGGAGTCAGGACTGGGGGAAACCAATAGCTTGTCCCAGGAGTCCTGCAGCTTGCCTGACTGCATCTACTCATCTCTCCAACTTAATTTATTCTCTGATATATAAAAAAATAACTGCTCTGATTAGGATTCAATTCAATTCAAAAATACTTTATTAATCCCAGAGGGAAACTCAATCTGTTATTCAGGATCTGTTATAAATAGTTTTTATGACTAAAGCTAGACGTTCAAATTCTCACTTCTACAGATGTCAAAAATTCAATGGAAGAAGTTTTTGATCAAGTCAGTTAAACATCTGGGATGTTGATCTGATCAGGTAACACACACACACACACACACACACACACACACACACACATGTGCACGCACGCACACAAACACACATCTACACACACGCACACATGCATGCACACACAAATGTACACACACACACATGCACATACACACATGCATGGATGCACGCACACACACACACAAGCATGCACACTGTTACATCTCCTGAAATGAGAGAAACCATGCACCCATCTGACAAACAAATTTTGCTGAGCCAGTGCAACCAGTTGATTGGCTGCTTCGAATGTCCATGCCCACACCCCTCTGTCACCATTGGTTTGGCTTTGTGTAGCCTGTCAAGGTCAGGAGTGGTTGCACCTGTGGGTGCAGTATAAAAGGCTGTTTGGTGCAACTCTAAAGAGTTGAGACTGATCAGAGAGGTGTACTTGACAGCCTCTGCCTGTGTGGCAGTTTGTGAGGCTCTTTGGAGGCTGCTTTTAAAGTGAAAAAGACTTTTCCACAGTGTATCTAAACCTCCTCCTAATGTTGCGATCCCATGAGCCGGGTCGTAATAACACACACACACATCTGCACACACATGGACGTACAAATGCTCGCACGTGTGCACATGCACGCACACACACACACACACACACATACGCATGCATTCATGCATGCGCGCACACACACCCATTCATTATCATCAGTACAATGTATTTGCCTTTTGAGATCAGATGCATTTTTAGGTCCCCACAACTTTGCAGGGGGTCCCTACAATTTTATGTGTGCTGAGGTTGTGAGATTACCAAGATAATATTTGTAAAAATTACATTTATGAGATCCAGATAACGCGCCCAATGGTACAATCAAAACTTTGCAAGAGGCATATCTCTGCATTTCTGTATAAAGTTTGTAATTGCTCACTATTTTATTGTGTGCATGCACGTAGGAGTTGGGGTTGGTGGGCCCTGGCTAGGAGGGACAATGTTGCATCGTCTCAGCAAATAGACATTATGGGAAAAAAAGAAGCAATGATTGAGTTAATAACATGAAAATACTTAAAGTATGTTTAATTTTTAATCATAGAAACATAGAGCACACGCATCAGAGTGTAAAGAGTGTTTTCCAGGTTTATCATCACTGATTAGGCCGATGCTCACTGCAGTCCGCTGTTGGTTTTTGTATCTACAAGCAGACAAATCTTCCTGAGCTGGTGTCTAGGTCTCCTGAGCCTCTGCTCACAGCCCAGCAAGCCCAGCTGTTTGGTTGTGGCATTATTTGTTTACCTCCTGCTTCCAGATGAGACCAGAAGAGCATTGTGGGAAACCAGCCTGCAGACTACTGGGTTGGTGACAATCACTCCTTATTCTTGCTCTCATAAAATGAATGTTTGATTTCTGATGACATCCTCACACCTGACCTGTGGAACTCTGACCATCCTCCAATCAAAAGAGTCTATTCATTTGTAAAAAATTAAGGATAATAAATATTATCTTACCTGTCAGAAACGCTACATCTAAACGTTGCTAATAATAGTTCCACATAAGAAACCACAGAATTCCATCTAAACAACAGAATTCCTCAAAAACTCCTGAACTACGTGGAACACGTTAGCTCACCAGTCCTGAAGAACACGAACTCTGTTTCTTTAATACTCTATTTCTGATTACTAATCTATACTTTAATGTTCTATTTCTGATTACTAATCTATACTTTAATGTTCTATTTCTGATTAATAATCTATAATTTAATACTCTTTGTGTGAGAGAGGAACTCCAGGCCTCGTCTCCATTAATGAGTCTTCTTCATATTTCTCCAAAGCTAATTGAGCTCCATTAACATTAACATGTATCTGAATGTTAACAAAACATGTTTACGGATGTTAGCTCAAACTGAAAAACGTGTGAGGCTGGGGAAGTTTGGAGGCTGTAATCTAATCTGGAACGGTGCCAGTCTGACAGACTGTTAGCCCGACATGTCCAAGATCCTTCAGTCTAAAGTTATTCTGTGTGTGTGTGTGTGTGTGTGTGTGTGTGTGTGTGTGTGTGTGTGTGTGTGTGTGTGTGTGTGAGAGAGAGAGAGAGAGAGAGAGAGAGAGAGAGAGAGAGAGAGAGAATTCTGATCATTTAGAATAAGTTTAGCCCTGATCTAGCACCAACTTTGAGACATCTGATTTAGTGAGTGTGACAGATGGAGATAAACATGAGCAGATGGATTCACGCTGATCCATGCAGTTTCTCGCCTGTTTCTGCAAATTAATAAAGAAGAGCAAATCAGAGCTGGAGAACTCAGTGGTTTCCTTTGGTCTTTCTATAGTTTCAGAGATGAGGAACCCGTTCCTTGTCTAATTCCTTTGCTGACACCCAATACCATTATTATTCTGGTATGCTTACATGTATGTAGGTGCTATGCTATCTCATCCAAGGCTCTTTGCCTGTCTTTGGGTGGATGGTGCTTCTGCATTTTTTCTGGAAACTAGAAATTATTAAAAATGGATCTGGTCAGTTGGTCTCTCAAAGCGATTGACAAGATAATTTCAACAATGAGGACAGGAGAAGGGGCTCCCGGTTGCCCCTCTGGGTCAGAGCCAGCTGGGCATATCATGGACTCCTGGAAACAGTGGAACCTGATCTGTCTGTCTCAACTGTCTGTAGAGGATTCTGAAGACGTCTGGATATTTGTGGTGTTGGTGTCAGGTTTCCTGCTTTTTGGCCTGAGTGGTTATCTGGCTTACCGGAAAATTAATGAGCTTTCGAGGAATATTGAC